GAGAGAGAGAGAGAGAGAGAGAGAGATCCTATTTCCACCAAGAAAAAGCATTAGGAACTTGTGTTTTTCAATATTCTCTCCAAATACATCCTCTAAAAAACTGTAAAGAATGTATACTTATTCCTTTTCAGAAAATTTGATCTTTTATAGTTACAAAAAACATTTATGCATAAAGCATCTATTATAGGACTAAGATATAATTTTTATCAAACATATGTCCTAATGTTTCCTACTAGTGGAGTTTTAAAAAATTATTAGAAACAGCAGTCCAGGATACTAATTGGGCATCGTCACCTGTCTGAAATGGATAAAGAATTTCCTTTAACTTAGCCTCCAAGAAAGACTACTATTTGTAGTTTGTCAACAAATAGTTTTACTGGGAGAAGAAATAAATTTCCATTTATCATACTGGCATATCTCCCAGTTTGTGTTTATATCCTCTCAGTCAAGAAGTGAGAGAAATATGTATTGTGTCCCTTGTTGTTCGTAAGTGTGAAAAATGGTTTCATCTTGAAATCAGCATAAAGCACCACCCACTCACTTCCAAGGAGAATTTTTATTTGAGGTTTATTTACAAGCTTCAAAAGAAGTTCTGAGAAAGGTACCAGAAGGGTGAAGTGTTAAAAAGTGTGCTTGCTATATTACACAAAAAATTAGCTTTCTATCAGAGAAAAGAAAGACTTGGGGGAGAAAAAGTATGCAATAGGCCCCATTTACTGGGGTATCATTGTTAGCTATAAACAAACCTTAGACGAAATTTGGCCTTCAAATAAATAATGTGTGTTGTCCTAGGATCATTTGATTCTGTTTTCAAAATGAGCATGTGTGGCAGAATAAACTGGAAGGGAGGCAGCAGTAATTGATCAAGATTTCCAAGAACATAAACAAAATATATTCAGAGCAACCTTTTGCAGAAGATTTGGTATTAAATCATTGTTGCTAGATGGTATAGCCTGGTTCTCTGTAATGGAAGGTTAAACAGATCCTTGAAACAACAAAAACACCCTTCAAAATGATCTATTTTTCTGGGGCAATACAAAGGGGCTTACCATTTTTGTTTTGATTGCTTCAGCTTTAAACAGGAATGGTAATTTCAGTACATGGGCACGAAAGCAAGACATCAATTGTGCAGATGTAATCAGAAAGTACATTTCCTTATGTTTTATTTCCTTTAATCATTCTTCTTTTTTGATGGAGTACTGGGCTTTCTAATAGAAAAGGGGAGTTTTAGAATACAGCTCTAGAACAATGGGTTAGAATAGCTATCTTTAGTTTTTAAATTGCCAGGAGCCTAGTAATAACATGTCATTTTGAGGGTAATTGTTAACTATACCATTATATTGATATAAAAAAGTGGAAACCTACCTGTGAAAATAGATGCTAATAGCAAAGCTGGTCTTCCCAAGCCAATAATTGGAAAGATTTTTGAATAATACAACCTATAGTGCATTGCTGAAGTAGTGACATGCTAAACAGCAGTTCCCTCATTTATTAAAGAATATATCATAGTCTCATTATTAGGATATTCTATTAGCAAGAGTTAGGAGATTTCTTTTCAGCGATGCTGTGCAATTGTCATTTCTGGTCTCATTCACTTCCAATTCATTTAAACTATAAAATTTATTACACTACAATTAAATGTGTTTGGAAAAATGAAATTTAGCCATATTAATCTTACTCAACTATTCAAAATCTTAAGAAATTTATTGCAAGGGCCTGAGGTTCAATCCCTGGGCCTGCTGTGCCGGCCCCACCCCCAGGATGTACTGAGACAGCAATCGAGACTGAGCATGGTGGCCCCTGCCTGTAATCTCAGCACTTGGGAGGCTGTAAACAGGAGAATCACTACAAGTCTGATCTAATCTAATAATGAGACAATGAATACCCTATAGACCCTTACCTAAAATACAGGAAAAAAAAGAAATTTCTTTGCTGGCCAATAAACTTATTAATAAAATAGTAAGAAAGTACTGCTTCTCAAGGTATCTCATAGTTCTATAATAAAAGACCAATTCATTGGAGTGTAACTCACAGCTGCTCTTGCAAATCATGTTGCAAAAATAATCAGAAATCATCCTGGAAGGAAACTAAAATACTTAAAAACTTGAAATCCAAAACTCATATGATGGATGATATTCCTGTTTCCTGGCAGACCCTTTCCAAATATATATTGGTGCCATGGCATGCATATTTTACCCTCTTATTTATTTATTTTTCCTCTTTTGCCAGCAATGTTCCCATTTCAGAGTGATCAATAGCTGTTATTGTAGAACTGTAGGACCAAAAATTGGAAGAGAACTGAGGAAGACATTTCAGGAAATGTTCAGGGAGACTAACAGGCAGTCTGCAGAGATAGATCGCAGGGGTCAAGGGAGACAAAAATAAGACTGCACGGTGTAACTGCATTCATTCATTTGCTGTCACTTACTTCAGTCTGACACATTGGCATGCCTTCTCACAACGTGGATATTTCATCTGCCCTGGTTCATCTGAACTGACTTGAGCTATTTAGAACAGCAGTACTTGTTCCTTGGATTTTCTGCCCAGGCTCAGCAGTTTACAAAAATCATTGAGATTTGGACACGGAAACTGCAAAAGACTCAAAGTCTATTCTCAACATTTACTGAGCACTTATAATTACTTAGCCACAGAGGTTGACATTAAAATACAGAAAGGAATAAGACAAAGAATTCACCTTTAAGGAGCTCATTTGTGTTCTAATAAGGAAAATAGATAAGTAATGAATATTGTATCATACAACACAGCAAATTTTACAACAGAGCTATGGAAAATAAACTACAGGCTCACAAGGCAGGCATGACTTACTTCCCGGGAAGAGCAAAGGGAAAGATTTGAGCTGAGCTTGCAAGCACAGGTAGACGCTCCCCAACCAACCAGATGAGGAGAGCATTCAGAATGGAGGAGATAACATGGTACCAAAGCAAAGAGGTATGGAAATATATTAAAGCAATTTTAAGTAATTTGGAATTATCTGGATCTCAAGATACATATGACACTGTAATAAGAGGTGACTAAAGTAGACATGAGTCAAATCATGAAGAAATTTGTATACATTATCAGTAAGTAAATGTGGACCTCATTCAATAGTGGACATGTAGCCACTGAATGATTTTCAGACATGAGTTGAAATAATCTCTACAGGAAAAGCGTAGACATGGTTTGGAGATGGGTATGAATAGAGACCAAAGAAGTTAAGAAAAACTAAGTTAAAGTAAGGAAGTAAAGATAAGTAAAAAATGCTTTCAATAATTTCAATAAATTTTAGGAGCTAGGCTGAAAACAAGCTGATAATTAATTAGGCTTAGAGAATGAGAAGAGTGCTAGGGGTGCTCAGATTTCCAATTTAGTTAAGTACATGATCAAGATACTCATTGGATGAGTAGAGAACACAGAAGGGAGAGGAAGCTTCAGTAAGAGATGCAAAAAATAGGGAGTGAAAGTTTTATATGATCTGAAAAGAAAACAGAGCATAGTGAGTTTAGTTTTAAACGTTGTGATTTGGAGGTACCTGTGGGACATCCAGGTAAATTCTACTGGGAAATTGCATGCCAGGTGAAAGCTCTAGGTACTAACAAGTTTCAGCCTATAGAGACAGGAGTTAAAGCAGTGGATATTGGTGAGATTGTCCAAATAAAATGCTTCCAAAGCATTTTCATGAGACAGTATCTCAATTTTCTGCACTGATGACAGTGAGATATGGTCCAAAAGAGTGGAAAATTCAAGTCCTATTCATACATCTTTGAAGCGCATTCTAGCAGTAGGATTTCTTTCTTTTCACAAAAGTAGATTACCTCCTGATTGTGTTTTTCTAAAACTAATATTAAAATTGAGTGGCATTCTCTTTTCAAATACCAGTTGCATAGTGGAAGTAAGCTGAACTCAAATAGGTGTGTTCCAGGCATTAGGAGAGAGACAACTAGAGATGAAAAATTAGCGTCAGATGATTCCCAGAGCCTAGAGTGAACAAGAGATCATTAAACATTAGTCATAAGATTCTTTTTGAAGCATTTAGAATCACCACTGAAGGGCCTCATTTTATTTCTCCACTTCACAAACAGACAAACTAAAGCAGAGTGCTATAGTGTGTTTCACTTTCAGGTTCTCTTACACAAAACTGATTCTCTAGTTTTGAATGAATGCAAGAAAAATTTAAATGTCACCAAGATTATTGTGTGGTAATTACTTTTTTAAAATCCCTTTTTTCTGTCTAGGAATCGTACATAAAGGAAATGGAGAAAATATGTTCATTTCCCAACAACCTCCAGTGATAGCAACCATAATGGGCAATGGACACCAAAGGAGTGTAGCTTGCACTAACTGCAATGGCCCGGCTCATAACAACAAACTCTTTGCTCCAGTCGCCTTAGCTGCTGGGCCTGATGGCAGTGTGTATGTTGGTGACTTCAATTTTGTAAGGCGAATATTTCCCTTGGGAAACTCAGTTAGTATTTTGGAATTAAGGTAAGTCTCCTGCAATCTCTCTGTTTCCCTAGCCAATAAATTTTTTAAATCAACAATGAGGTAACATAAAGAGACAAGGTATTGGCAGAAAAGGTGGAAAACGCAGGTGCCAGTATTGTGGCCCTAAGTTGCATTAATAGGAATAATGGTCAAGGTACCCTTTTCTCATATTTGAAGCAACTTTTGAGCACTTATTTGGAGAAACAGAGAATATTAACATCCTTGTATTCGATGTTTCTCTGTGTATATTTTCACTAACATAATCTCAATACTTCCAATGGTTAGGTAAGTAACTCACTCACTAGTAGCCATCATCAATCTTAATTTTAAAATATGTGTTCATGATAGCAAGTACAGGTATTCCCAGATCCAAAAAGCTAAACTTCCTAAATTCTTTAGGTCCAAAATTTTCAAGCAGTTGTTGCATAAAGAAGAAAGAGAAAGACTACTTTTTAATGGTATGATGAAGAAAAAGTAACAAGTTCTCTGGCTTTAAACACTCAACCCCATAATGATTAAAGCATTTTCTTATTATTCCATTTTAGGAATTTTGCAGAGTAAAACATGTTAACACTTTCTGTAGTGGGTTCATGTCTTTTGTTAGTCCATATCCTGAAGTTTACTTAAAGATTACAGCTAAGTAGACTGTGGCTTTGCCAGCTTATCTCTTCTTTCTGAGTCTATAAGACAGTACATCCTCCAGAGTTCAAGAAAAAGGAGCATTCACCCCACCCCATTAGGCAAAAATAAAGCTGCTTTCTCTTTTCTAGGTAAATTGGTAAGAGTTTTTTTTTCTAATTGATTATGAAAGCTTTAGCCCTGACACAAGCCTCTAGAAATTTAAGCTAAAGGTTTATCTATCTTCCAGAAGATTGTGATGTCATCCCAGGAACTATTCTACAAAGTCATTTTGACCTCAGGCATCTTTTCAATAATCTTAAAAACAGTGACTGAAATAGCAAACACATTCATGAAGAAAATTGTATTTTCAGAGTAATTTAAACACATGCCCATTAATCTTAATTGTCAAATTGAATGGATTAAGGGACTCCCCAAACAGAGACTGGATCATGGACATACTGTATTCATCAGTGGATTACACCAGTGATACTCATGACCAAACACACTCTTAGTAGATGGGCCCAGTGGGAAGAGGGGAATGACTGGGTGTGCCTTCCAAGGGCATTTCTTCTCTGGCACTCTTCGCTTGTGCTCTCATTCCTGAACACTATGAAGTGAGCAGCTTTGCTCCATCATGGCCTTCCACCAGGAGGTGTGCACCTCAAAGTCAACCAAAGATGACCTAAAACCGTGGGCCAGATAAGTCCTTTTTTCCTTTAAACTATGCATGTCTGGCAGTTTGTCCAAACGAAGAGAAATCTGGGTGATACACAAGGCTAATAAAAATACATGAGATATTTGAGTTATTTTTAACACCTGTATTTACTCTAGTACAGATATTTGAATTCATAAGAGCATTCCTCAAAATTTTTACAATTGTCGTTCCATTTGGAATCTACCTCTCTCTTCTCAAACTGAATAATTCCTGCACACCAAGCTGGGAAAATCTAGTCCCAAGCCCCAATCCATTTTTCACATTAATTCACTCCAGTTTTAATACATTTCTTAATTATAATTGCAAACATTGTCATAGGGAAGAAATCTGTTAAATCCCTTGGCTAATAAAAAAATAACTGTTAAGACTTCATAAAGCAAAAACACACCATCAAATGTGGAGAGGTACAAATCACAGCCACCAACCATAATCAAGTGTTCTGAAACTCAGGATGCCGCATCTCATGGGGACATGTGATTTCCAGTAATATATTTCTAGGCACGTACTTACCAGAAAATCAATAAGGCCAAGACGCTTATATGCCTGAATTTGGAAATGATTTGCACAACATTTTCCGTTATTTTCAAAATGCTTCACACGCTTAGAATATGTACGTGATGCCAAACACGGGTGAGAGCAATGAGCAATTCCTGTAACGTCTGAACATTTTCAGTCATGCAGTTACTAGCTGTCAAGTAGACAAAGATCTTGTCTTCCTTGAGTTGATGACATTAACCCTATGAAGCTTGTGAGTCTAACTCCTCAAAGGAAAAAGAGTAAAGTTGTCTATAAAAATAATATAAAGAAACACCAGCTAAGTTTAGTCCCTTCCTGGGTAATTTAAATGTAAATTTACCTAAGGTGGAACAGTTGTCATTCATTGATGAGATTCACTCTTGGTCAAGAATCTTTAACAATTTAAAATTTGCCTTTTAGTCTAAAGTACCTTATGACCTTCAACATAGAATTATTTGAACTATAAAGTAGAATAACCTGAACCTTAGTTACAAAGTGATTTTCCTAGTATAATGAAAAAATAGTTTTCTGACAGTTTTGAAGTATTTTCTAATGCCTCTATTCATTCTTACCCCATAAACCCATTTTCTCTCACTACCATAGAGCTTCCGACACAGAGGCATGTACATACCATGAACTTACACACCCTGGCTTTCTCACTTAGTGCAAATCCCCCTAGCTGGCTTTTCTGACCAGAGATTTTTTTCTTGAATAATTTTACATATTTTCTGTTAGTCTCAGATTTCTTTGAGAAGCTATTTAAGACTATGGGCCCTCTCCCTCCAGAAAACAACTCAAAATTGCACATATGATTAAAGTGATCACATTTTTTTGCTCCTTGATTCCTCCTACTGCAACAGCAGCATGTCCCTATAGCAAAGTCCTAGCACCAACTTGTGATCAGGATCTCTTGCATTAGATTCAACAAGAAAAGCAATTCTCTCTTCTCTATTCCAACACTCCTGTAATTGGCTATCTGAGAAATAAACTGATTGGATACATGTAATCAACTTGATCTAATTGATGGGTAACTCCTTCACTATTTGACTACATAGTTGAGATCATCAAACCAATTATGTCAGCATACGTTATCCGTCATGTTTCCACAGAAATTAATATGGCTTTAAATAGATTCACTTTTCAAAAACCACCTATTCTGTAAGTGCTTGCCTGGCAAGGTCAAGGTCCTGAGTTAGATCCCTGGTACCACCAAAAAAAAAAAAAAGCACCTATTCTGACTAGTAGCCTGTGTATGTATATTGAATCATTCAAAGACATTTGTAAATTTATGTATTTGCTTTTAAATTTTTCCAGATGTAAACTTCCTTGGAAGAATAAGATGATTTAATATACCATGCTATCTTAAGAATTATAATGTTACTGGATTATAGTGCTGTGTTTAGGTAGAAACTTCATTTTGTATCAGTCTTTTGGTATTGTTGTTTTTGCTGCTGCTGCTGCTGCTATTGTTGTTAAGATTAGGTAATTTAACTTCTCCCTACCCCATGCACATTTGTCATTTGCCTTGGTTGAATGATCTATTTCTTGGAAACACAGACTACTATTAGTGATTTATACTGGTCTTTCAAAGTTGTGAATAGAAGAACAATATTCTCAACAGGTTATCATAGTAAACAGTAGAGGACATTCTAGATCTTAACCTGCTATCATTTTATACATCATGTAATGTATTACTACTTCCTTATTTACAAAGTTGAACTCAAGTTCATATTCTTTCACCCTCTTACATGTCTTATACTTGTTTTGAGATCCACAAATGTGTAGGTCTCAGCCCAACATTTGCTGACATTTTGAGCAGATGCAAAGTTTTCCCTTAATGGATGTCTTTTGCTCCTTTCTCTTATTCCAGATTTGAGCCAAGTTTAACAATTCCAGATGCCCTTTGACATTTTTAAAGTTTGGAAGGCTGTAGATGCTTCCAATTTCAGCCCTCCTAGATCAGACTATCTCCAATTGAGCTTCTTTAATTTGACCTAAAAATAACTTCATTTTTCTTGGTTGCCAATCATCTGTTTTCTCTTGATGGCCCACAACTGGCTGAAAGAAAAAGTCAGTGATCTCATTGTCTTTAAATATCTGCCAAGAGACATATTATTTCTTGTTATTCAAGTCTGTAGTACCCCTTTGCCTATTTTCTACAGATTTTATCCAAAAATGAACATCTCAGTACTTCTTTCCAGTGAAAGACTGAGGTAAGATCATAAACCTGAAGGACTTTTAAAAATACATTCTCTGAAGAGTTTTGAAAATAGATTCTGATCAATGTAGGATAATTTAGGTCATTTTCCTAGGGATTTATTCCACATGTGAATGCACACACATGCATATATACTTCATTAACACAAAAGTAATATCATAGATATGTGAGCTTAACATTAGAAAGATCTGTGAAGCTATCAGGTCCAATACCATTTCCAGCATATGCCTGAGAGTTCATCATCTCTACTTTTTTATCTCTTTCAATAATGTGAGCCTTAAACACTTCTGAAGAAAGCTCATTGCATCTTTGGATGCTTCTGCTACAAATCTTTCCTTCCATTCAATTTAAATTTACCTTCAGGAAACATCCACTAATGGTAGCAAATGTTAGCATCCAAGGCTGCACAGAAATCACTTATCTCCTTTACTGGACAAACATTCACAAGTGAGAAGAAAGGTATCATAAGTTCTTAAGCTTTTTCTTCTTCAGTTCAAGCATTCTCAAGTCCTGAAACTATTTCTCATCAATTATGATTGCTTCTTTTTTCATTAATCTTAGGCTCATAGTCATTTTATGGTTTTCTTAAACTAACAGGGATAATTATATAAGCAATATAGGAGACATCATATCAAGTGCTTTGCAAGAATTCAAATATGTAATTTTTCCTTGGTCCCCTTTCATCTCCTAATTTCACAGTTCTATTAGAAAACTCACTAAGTATAACTGAAAGTGATTTATTCATAATAAAAACCTCATGCTGTTATATTTTGGAATTCTGTTGTTCTCAATATATTTATTTTATCCTTCACTTAAAAAATGAAAGAAAAGAAAATAAGAAGCTGGTAAATGCGTCTTTGTACCTTGAGTAATTTAGGCTCAACAAATGTCAATGTGACATGAAAATTTCTCTTGAGATTTCACTGTTTCTTTTCCAATGACTGGTTAATATTTCTTGCATTGTTCTCAGGACTTGACTCCTGTCATAGACTTAAAATGAAATAGACCTAAAATAGCACCCATTTAGGCTCAGTTAGCATGCTGACAGGCAGTGGAACTTGCAAAGCACTCAACTAAAGGAACGAATAGAACCTGGGCTTCAGAGAGTTCTACAAATAGCTGACAAATAGCCAGGAAGCATATTCTTTCAGCATCAATGGAGATACAAATACTAGAAATGCTACATGTGGATGAACTATATGGTTACCTCCTCCACTTGAGCTAATGTATAAGCACTGACACTCAAAAGTTCCATCACTTCACTCACTGGTTATCTTCAGTGTCTCAAGTTTCAGTGGTCATCTTCAGTGTCCAAATTTTCCATTCTAAAATACTGTTTTGCTTTGAATTAAGGTATAATGTCTCATAGAATCCCAATGTAGGAATAGAATGGCCCATCAAGCTGAAATAATCCATTAGTCTATGCACATGCATTCGTTTATCAAATTGGACCTCACATAGACTTCTAGCTTAAAGCAGGGCTCTAAAATACGAAGTAGGCACATTGGTGTAAGGATGAGGGACTGAGCCAGAGTATGGGGAAAGTTAGTATTAGACATGCATTGAGAGGGTAGGAAGCCCTACAGTGTCATTGGCAGGTAAGAATGAGCAAAGCATATGCAAAAGAAAACCATGAAAAGTCAATCAGGGAAGGTACTTCCTTCTTTGTCACCAAATATACTGGACTGAGAACAAGAAAAAAATACCAAGGAGTGAATGAAGAGCAAGTAAGATATTACCACTATGACCAAGCAAGCCATTAAAACTTCAATGATGCCAAGACAATGGCTCCAACATTAGCATACTTCCAATTTTCAATTGTTCCCCTCTTAAAAATAGAAAAATAATAACTAATACATTATATGAAATGGAAGAGGCCAGACAAAAGAAGGACAATATTATATGATTCCATTTATGTGATATATCCAAGAGAGGAAATTGATAGAGACAGAAATCAGATTTTTAATTGCCTAAGACTAAGAGAGGGGTGAATGGGATGGTGCTATTAGGAAACAATACTGAATTTCTTCACAAGATACTAAAAATGTTCTAGAATTAGATGATAGGAACAATTACACAACTCTGAATGCATTGAGAACTGCTGAATATGTTTTAGAAGGGTGACTTCTGTGCTATAGGAATCATATCTCAATGTGTTTTTAATTAAAAAGAAGATAGATGGCCCTTTTCATCATTTAGATTCTGAAAAAAAATCAAAAATCAAGCCACAGACACTATCATTACAAATATTTCTTACTCTAAAAAGATTTGCAGTTCTACTCCTCCCCGCTACTCTTCACTCGTGGCAACCTTCAAATCAGTCAGTTGCCAGGCGCTTATGCCCACTGATGAGCCCGAGCACTTGTGAGGAACTCGCACGTGGGCACCTCAGCATGAAGTCAGTTACTAGCTAGACAGCAAGCTGACTTTGGTGGTGGCTCAATCTTAAATCCTTAACTAAAAGTAATTCTGAGACAGAACAAGGTCATACACTGGAAATAAATTCCGTCATTTTCACTTCCTCCCTCTGAGATGTTAATGAAAGAAGCTGCTCTGCATAATATGGGACATCTTTCCAAATTCACAATGACAGTATTGGCAGGATCAGAAGCAGCTGCAAGAAAATCAAACCATCCCCCTTCCTACTCCTTGCCATCACCCAAGAATTTCAAAATCTTTTGTAGCCACACACATTGGTCTTTCTAGTATTTTCACAGCTAAACTTCCTCTAAAAAAATTCAACTGTGTTACAGTGATGAGAGCGAGCCTCACGTACACTCACCCTATAATTTGGAAGCACAAAAGCAAGCAAGTGTCTAAGAGACAAAGAAACTGAAAGAGGTGCAAATGCCTGAGGCCAGGTTTCTAATCAGAGCTCAGCATGCTCACTAGTTGACCTTGTGGCAGCCCAAAGGATACCTACCCTTTTGAGATGGGCCAAGGAAACAGAAAAGTCAGTGGACCCTGACCTGTGGTCCAGCCAGCAAAATCCCAGAAAGATTCTTTTTCAAGAGTTGAATCCATTTTAGCAAACGGTTCAAATGAAATAGTTTTGTATTTTTTCTTCTTCCCTGACATTCCAAAGAGTAAGAATGTTTTCTCGTTTAGAAAAAAAAAAAAAAAAAGGTTTACTATCTTTGTGTTCTCAAAATGACACAAGGGCCAGATTTAAAATGATTTTGAAATTAAAGTGACTGTATTTCACAGATGATTAAAATTCCAGGTAGACTTGACTCAAAGTCAGGTCCGTACACAGATTACATTCTGTGGGAGAAGCCTTGCACCATGTCCCAGAGTGAGTCGCCCTAGGCAATACGCCTTGCCAAGGGGCTCAAAGATCAGGGGCTGCCAAAATGTTCTGCTTTCCTTGGGCTCACAATTCTGTTTTATCCACTCCATTTCCTCTCTTGGAGCATGGATGGCTAGAAGACACAAGGCTTTCATGGTTGATATAAGTGATGTTTTATTGAAGCTACTTTGATGCAGCAATTTTGATACCAGGGACATTCTATCAGAGTCTAAGATAAAAACCTTTATAATCTTCAACTTGTTAGGGAATATACACAATAGATATCCCTCTCTTATCTCTGAGATCAGATAAATGGCTTAAGGTTAGGGTAGGAATGTCTGTCCAGGGACTGGGGAGATGGTTCAGTAGAATAAGCGCTTCCTTGGCAAGTGAAGGGCCTAGTTCAATCCCCAATTCCACAAAAATAAAAGAAAAAGAAAAAAAATGACTGTCCAACACAGGAATTTATAACAAAACAGTGATTTTAGGTTTTGAGAGGATGGTGATTAAAACAGAATATGGAATGATAAAATCATTTTCAGGGCCTGTTTGTTCAACTCCTATTCCAGTGGTTCTTGTGGTGAGTCTTATTCTATATCAGAATCACCAGCTGAGTTTGATAACAATATAATCCACAGACCCCACCCCTATATCAGGGTTCTGATTTAGGGACTGGGGAGATCATCAGGAAACCTAACTTGAGCAAGAACTCAGTGACTCTGATTAAGATGGTCCAGGCAGAATATTTTGAAAAACTTGCTGTAGAACGAGGCCTACCCATCGAGCAAGACACATAACAGCCATTATACCATCTTAGGAGGAGAAACGTGGAAAGATCTGACTAACATTGGTTGCATAGCTGACTAAATGGTCCCTGTGGAACTTCCCTAATTGTAGCAAAGTGGGTTAGGGATTGGTATGTCTGGTTAGATTTGGTTTGTTAAATGATACTGATGATTCTCCATTTGCTTTTACTTGCCACTCGTGGATCCCTTGTGCACTCTAGAAACAGAGATACCAGACATAGGTAAGCAAATCACATGGGATGCTGCCAATGTTCCTTCTTGCCTAGGAGGTTACCTCCTAATGGTGTGCTTAGCAGGGAAATGTTGCTTCTTACATGGGGTTAAAGAAATAGTGTGAAAGTCAAATTGGAAATTATGATGCAGGTAAGTGTCTTCTAAGAGAAGAAGGCTGCCTCACTAAGTAGGAATTTACTGGAGGTACAACCCATAAGAAAAGGAAAGCAAGATGAGTAAAAGCTGGCGGTTCAGTACTCCATGGGAAAGCAAGGCTGTGTCATCACATTTACCTAAGGTGACTTTATGAAAGTGTCCATAAGTTCAAAATATTTGAGGTTTTCAAGTTGCAAGTAGAAAAGTAATAAAGAAATCTAAGTTCAAAAATATAGTTGACAAGTATATTTAACAGTAACAATGATGACTTTCTTTAACAAAATATTTTCTTTTTTCTTTGATATAACTTCATGATTTTTATCTCTTCATACCAAAAAGTAGTAGTAGAAAAGACCACAGTGACTATTTACTGTTTATTAGCACTGCCACACATTTCTCTAAAATTAACCATAATGACTATTTCTATTCGATTCTTTATACATTACAGTTGTCAAAACTGTTCTAAACTCCTGAAATTGAAAGAATGATAAATTTGTTCATCTGCAGATGGCAATTGTCATAAAAATAGCACCAATAGGTTTTTTTGGCTTGCATTTAGGAGTTACCACTTTCTGAATTCCAATGCATATGATTACCCTTGTTGCTTTGACATAACTGATTCCTTAAGCAAATTAAGGTAGTTGTCAAATTGCTTACTGAGAAAGTGTTGCACAGTATTAATTATAAGCATTAATCATCCACTTAATAATCCATGTGATTTTTGACTAGCATGCATGAAGTTGTCTTTGCTAACTTGAAGGGCACTGCTGAATGTAAAACTGACCCAAAGATGACAGAAGGTCTAACACCCAAATTATTAAAAAAAATTCACATAGTTCAAATGGCAATATGCACTTAGACATGAGGGATTAAAACAAATTAGAATGTAGCACAGTGGTTTTACTTTCTCAGGTGTAGTATGTTTTCAAAACATAGAAATCAGTCTCAAAAAAGCTGAAGTGCATTTGGGAAATGGCACAAAATGGCAAGAAATTGCATACCAATATAGGTGACATTCCTGACTGTTTGCTGTCAAGAAAATAACATTAATCAGGTTTGAATTTTGTAGATTGGGCTATTCCATTTTCTAAAAACCAGTGCATAAAGTTTGAGAAAAAATTGCTGAACAAAATAAAGCACATAACTCAGAAGGCAGCAACACTGATTTTTTTTCCACTTTCACAAAGAGAACATTCTGATGGTGTTTTGTACACACAGTCATATAGGATCTAATCTAATCTTGGTAAGGCCCAGACTTGTTAGTGACCCTAGGCAAACCCCCTAGTGTATGGGTTTCCCCAGCTGAGGTTTGAGAAGAATGCTAATTCTAACTTCCCTCACAGGCACATTGGAGATATTCAATAATGAATGAATGTAATGCATTCCAAAGTACTTTTGTGTGGATAACATTTCTCTTGAAAAAATAGCCTATGGACTCTTCCTAAACAAAGCATGATTAATTTGGCTCAGTTGAAACTGCAGAAGCTGGCTATAAAGTATTGCAGGAGTTTTTTGGAGGGAGGGGGTGTTAACCCCTTCTTTATTCTAGAAAGATGTATACACATTGGGGAAAGGTAAAAATTGAATGAAATATGTGAAAATGTTCACTCCAAGCCCTGTTTAAAAAGTTCTTGCTGCAGAGATGCCCTGTTTAGTAAAATTGCCAAATCAATGCTGGAATGTGTTGGGGCCCTGTACCATTTATGTATAGCAAGTGACATGGTGATTCTAGGGTTGAAGAAGTCCCTGGAATCCACCAGATATTCCTATCTCAATGCAGGTAAGTAGGAAAAAAATCAGATATTCTGATTGGACCTGATTTTTATCCAATGAAAACTGTAAACTGAGTCTCAATTTAGTATTTGCCAGTCTCACCATTATTATTATTATTGACATGTATAAATATGCTTAAAGGATAAATACAGTGAAGAATATGCCACTCTTAAAGGTGTCTTTATTCTTATGAGCTACTTCCATTCCATTTTTGGTTGGCTAAGTAGCCAAGACCTGAAATCTTGTATGTCTTAATTTCATGTCTATAGTCAGTGTAGTTCAGCACTTACTCAGCACCAGTCCTTCTGGGTACTCTATACCCAAAGACAGAGAAAATGAATATTTCCTTCTCTCAAAGAGCTCACAGTGGAGAAAGAGAAGGAAGAAGTGATTGATTTACATATGTGCATCCAATTTATTTCACTTAAGAGTAAGGTCTCAAGGTGAAAAGAGACAAGAGACAGAAAGAATAGCGAGACAGAGAGAGAGAGAGACAAAGAGAGAGAGAGAGAGACAGAGAGAGAGACAGAGAGAGAGACAGAGAGAGATTGCTATATCCAGAACCCAGCTCTTGGTTTATGATATGATTTATGGTTGATTTTAGGATTGGGGCAAGGAATATACAAGATGACCCACAATCACTTTAAAAAATCTAGAAAAAATACTGCCTCAACTAGGAGATAAAGATCAACCACATCAGTGATGTCATGTTGATAATTTGTACCTTTAATATGACTTGATAAAAATGACGCTTTTCAGACACATTCCAGTCAAGAGACATCTGAACAGTACTGCCCAAAACTAAGGTCATCAGAATGAAGAAAAGTTTGAGAAGCTGTCACAGCCCAGAAGAGCCTAAGGAGACATGATGATTAACTATAATTTAGTATTCTGGATTGGAGCATAATCATTTTTTAATTTTAATTTAAAATTAAAAATTCATTTTTTTTAATTTTTATTTTTATTAATACATGTTTTCAGTACATAATGTTATTTTTTGCAAAATTCATAGTGGAAATTTGTTATGTATACATAATAAATCTTAATTCTTCTTCTTTTTACATCATACTTCTTTCTACATCTATTTTCCATCCTCATTCTTTCCCCGCTCTCCATCTCTTAACTGCCTTCCCATTTGCAGAAGATCTACATCCTTGCTTCCTATTACCTATCTTTTATTTACAGAAATAATTTTTAGAAACAATGCTAAGACAATCTAGTAAGTAGTGCTATTTCACAAGTCCTTCCTCTCTACTCATTCCTCTCTCTCTATTTCTTTCATAATACTAAGACTTATGACAGCCATGTCCTTTTAGTGTATTTGTCCCCCACTAGACTGAGTTTCATGAAGAATGAGGTTTATCTTGAACGCGAGGCTCTAGACCATAGCATAGATCTTGCACACATTATAGGCACATGGTAAATGCTTTCTAAAAATCAATTAAGAAACACCTAATATAGAAATGATTTGAAGGAAGGAGTTCAGATGATATATGATGGGCCCGTGGACTACTAACATGAGAGATAAAGCACAGTAAGCAGATTAGAGACAATTGTAGATGGTAGAATTAAAACATTGTGACACTGTATATGAGGAATGTTGGAAAGAAGGAGTTGAAAAGGAACAACTTCTGGTTTCTAGCTTAGGCAATTGTGTGCTCAGTAGTTGTGCACGTTGAGCATAATAGAGAATAACAAGAAAGGTTTGCTCTCCTCCAAGCTCCCATGACTTATTGGAGGGGATAGAGACACATAAACAAAGATGTAGTATGTAATCCCCTTATGCATAGTTCAATAAACCAATCTGGAGATTTGTGGAAGTCTTTCTTAAGGAAATGGAGCTTGACTAAAGCCTCAAAAGGCATATGAGAATAAATTAAACAAAGAAAGGATTTGTACACCACACCAAAGAATATTAAAAGGCTTTTTAATGATGATGGCCACACGATCCGAATAGTCCTAGAGGCAGTCTGGATAAGTGGGCTTAAGATTTCAAAACATCTTCTATGTGCCAGACTATAGAAAGTATTCCAGACCAGAAATGATGCCAGTTAGAACTAATGTAATGATTAAAAAAATGGAAGAGGAAAATGATTGTGAAAGCTAGGTTCCATACATAGTTACATGTACATGAAAAGGAAAGGAGAATTCATGAAGGATTTCTGGGCTTGGGCTTGAATGATGTCAGTAGTAGTACATGAGCCTTAGATTCAAGTAAAATATCCACAGAAGCAAAGTTATACAGCCATAATAAAATGAAATAAACCAGGTTCAGTGGCACATGCCTGTGATTCTAGCATTGCAGCTGAGTGAGGTAAGAGGAGCACAAGTGATAGCCCAGGCTGAGAAACCTAGCACCTTAGTGAGACCCAATCTCAATTTAAAAAAGAAAAGTTTAAAGATGTAGTTCAGTATAAATGTCCTGAGTTCAAGCCTCAGTAGCGCACACACACATACACAAACACACACACACACACACACACACACACACACACACACGGACGCATTCACAGACACACTCATACATTCACACAAAATTAATAACAATGAAAAATCATTAAGTAAATGTAATCATCTGCACAAGTAAAATAACATGAGCTTCTCTGAGAATATGTAACTGAAGAGTTTCAACAATGCCAAAATCTAGGCTAGGTAAGGTTTGTGTCAACTCTAGGAGCCATGGTTACATGACTACACCATCATATAACTGTTATTCTACCTTCAAAAAGTTAAAATATAATTGTTTCTTATCCTGAAGGAAGAAAAATGGATTGGAGAAGTAGATTGAAGCATGAGATGAAAAGTCTGGCAGTGTGTCTCTAGCGTGAGTCTCCCTCAGCAACACACTGCTAACTTTGCATGTGTCCTCTCATTGACAATAGGAGGACGTCAGGTTCCCAAATAAGAAAGGAAACCCAGAAGAGAAATAGGTTTAGGAGGACATGAGAAGGTAGGAAAAGAAAATAACTTCTGTTTGGGATTTATTGAGTTCTCAGTGACTGTGTGACACATAGGCGGTCATCCAGTTGGTAATTAGATAACAGAGTATAACAAGTATGAGAAAAGTATGTCCTGGGATATTTTTTTGTTCTCTGTTTCTACCCTCAAATGAATAATATTTAAATGTCAGCATCATTTCAATAAGTGGTACACATTGGATTTTTTCATACTCAGACCCATTACCAGAAAAAGAAGTGCTTGTCCCCTTGGTATATAAGCAGGAATATACATTAATTGTTTAACTTAGTAAAAGATTTTCCATGTGTGACAAAAGGCAGGCCTCAGATGGTACATGTTGAACAAATTGCTGTGAATAACTTTACTTTTCTCTTCCTTAGCACAAGCCCTGCTCACAAATACTATCTGGCTATGGACCCTGTGTCTGAATCACTCTATCTATCAGACACCAATACTCGAAAAGTCTACAGGTTGAAATCTCTTGTGGAAACAAAAGATCTGTCAAAAAATTTTGAAGTGGTGGCAGGGACAGGTGATCAGTGCCTTCCCTTTGACCAGAGTCACTGTGGAGATGGTGGGAGAGCATCAGAAGCTTCACTGAACAGCCCTCGAGGTAAAATAAACATATACCTTCTCTGATCATCTAAATATTTCATTTGACTTCACAAAACCCTAAGACTGTTGCAATACTATACTCTGTCTACCCATCCTGCCTCATATGGGCACTGACTCTGAAGTGTATCACCAAAACAGGGACATCTAAGATCAATTTTAGCCCACGTACGTAAGTATGGTCATCAGTGTTGTTAAAAGCCTGGAATTCCCTTCTGGTTGATAAAATAACTATTTCCCAGAGTCCTGTGGGTGTCCTCCTGGCTCCTCAACCTCTCTGGTTCTATCTCCCATAAACTGCTCCAAATTACTCAACTAAATGGTTAACCTGGCCCACCAGAGAGATTCAAGGCCAAGCACTGTGGCCTACATTATGTGGGATTAGGTGTGTCAAATGTGTTGAATGTCACAGGCCCTTAACATTTCTACCATTTTCTTAAGAAACTTTAAGGGCCAGGGAGATAGCTCAGTAGAATAAGCATTTGCCTGGCAAGCGCAGTGTCGAGTTTAATCCTTGGTACTGAAAGAAAGAGAGAGAGAGAGAGAGAGAGAGAGAGAGAGAGAGAGAGAGAGAGAGAAGCTTTAATAATTTTTTCTTCTGTTATTTTGTCCAAATTATTCTTAAAGTTATATATAATACTTTCAATATAAAACCTCTCCAACATAATGAATTCTTTTTTTTCTATTTGTTTATTTATTTTTGCTCTTTGTGGGAGCTCAATCCCACTTTCATTTATTCTAACTTTGATTCTCAACCTTAAAGGATAAACCTCCAACTCAACTGTATTACCTGAAATTTGTGAACAAATCTGTGTTTTTCAATTAATTTTATAAGTGCATAGACTTGGATCATGTATCCATCATAGGTCAGTAAGCTAAGACACACCAATGTTTTAGTCATGATATATTATCCATTCTACTTACTTAATCATTCTTGTTTTTTCTCAAAGGTGTGTGTGTGTGTGTGTGTGTGTGTGTGTGTGTGTGTGTGTGTGTGTTTTATAAAGTATTTACTGGGTTTTTGAAGATAGTTTTTTAAGTTATTACACAAATAATATATAGTTCTGTGGAAAAATTACAAAGAATGAAAACATTTTTTAGTAAAACCACCATAAGCCTCTCACACAGAAAACCACCATTAATGTTTTACTTTTTATGTTTTTATAACTTTTTTCCATGTACATCATGTATTTTAATTCTCTTGGAATAGAGTCATGTTATACAATGTTATTCTCCAATGTGCTCTTGATGTTTAATGCATTATGAGCATCTTTCCATGCCAAAATAGTATAGTGACATCAATGTGTTTAATTTGTAAGTGGTCATATATTATTTTAATAGCAAATGTTGCTCTTTAGCCACTAGCTATTTGTCATATTGAGATTAAATTCCAACTATCATCAAAATTTAAAGATATAACTTTCTTCAAGGCCTTTATCTTTTGGAAAACCTTTCTGCTTACCCCAGCCCATTAATATAAATTTCAACAGAGTCTACACTGCACAATTAGCACTGGATTTGTCTTGCTTTCCACTTCCTTCATGGATGGTGAGTTTTTTCTAAAGACATAAGTGACCTGAAATGAGAAGCTAATATATTTTTAAACTTATCTACCTCCTCCTCAAACTCTTAAAACAGTGGAGGAAGACTATGTATACTTATTTTTAATCAATTCAGTAACTATTATTTACGCAAGGTAAATTTCTAAAAGGAAATTCAAAAATGTTTAATGAGGATTACTTGGCCCAGGTGTATAACTCAGCAACTCAGTAGCATAGTGCCTACCTGGCAAGCATGGGGGTGTGAGTTTGGTTCCTGATATTAAAAAACAAATAAATATATATTCTAAAGAGGATTATTTTTTTTTTGCTAGGAGAACACAGCTCCCGAGTATTATGGTAGTGCTTCTTTCTTCTTTTTTGGTCCTCTGCCATTTCTTACACATAGTAGGTCCATAATAAATGTTTAATGAATGAATGAATAAGTCAGGTGCATCTTTCCAGGAAATGCATTAGGTTGGGTCCCACCTTTATCACAGTTTAAAAACTCTTGTGGGTATTAATAAGGATTTCTGCATAAGAGAGAGAGAGGGGTATCGACCATGCAGTGTGCTAGAATCTGTCATTTTCCTGAGTTGTTGTTGGTATGGAAACTACTCATCTCACCTACTTCATTCAACCTGCCATATGGAGAATGAATATCTAAGCTTTTCCATATAAAGCAAGTAACTGGTTCTCTGCAAATTTTTTTTTTGCTTGAAAGTCAGCGATAAAGAGTTCTGATGAACAGCATTTACATGAACTCTGAAGCATCTGTAATAAGAGTGCCAAAATTCATATAACTATTAAAACTAATATTAAACTAAGTTTTTCTTCTTGTCAGAGCTAGTATTATATTTTCCTTCAGCTTAGTTTATTCACCTTTCTATCCAAAAGTGGCCTGCACCGTACTCTGATACACTTCACTCGTCCAAAGCAGTAAGGGCTCTAAGTACGTCTAGCTCATGCTTTAGACACATAATACCTGATCCATCTAGGACAGCTTTCTTGGAAAGTTCCTAAAGCAGATGTTGTCAATATTTGGCCTGATTCAGCAAATAAACAGAATATTTAAGAGAACTGGATGTGTAGCTTACACTAGATATCTATCATATCTTCTTCAACCATACTGACAGTGTTTAAAGATCCTATTAGAGATCTTTAAATCACCCAAGTAGCAGAATCTATGTCTGGACCTTGGTTGCTCTGAAAATGCTGGTCAGAACAGTTAGATGCCAGTCTATAGCAACTACCTTCGTGCTGAATATAGACAGTGCTCACCCTTGTCAGTCAATCAGAAGTGAGGTTCTCATTACAGGGAATGCTGCAGGGCAATTTCATAGGAAAAATCATGCAAAAAATATTAAACCACTGTATGCATATTGGGGGAGAATATTGCTTGATTGCTAACTTCATCTTTTAGGTCCTCATGCAGATTCTTTGTCTCTCAAGGAAGGCCAATTTACTTTTGGCTTGTTTTGTATTATTTTTTTGCTTTACAACTACTGTGCACATCAGCTCCTTCTTCCTTCCTTCTCAGACGGCAGCAACTGATTAATGGATTTCTTTAAGATGAGGTTTGATTTTTCCCTCTACCTAAAAGCTCATAAGGAAAAGCTGTAGATCAGTAGAAAGTGGAAATATACATCTATGGAGTACCATTTCTAAGTTAGGAAAGAGAGCTTACCTTAAGAATTTAACAAGCAACATATTTGCAATTACAGGCAGGCTCTCCAACATGTCCTTAATTATGCAAGGTAAGTCAAGTAAATGTTTATCTGCAAGACAGCTAATTTACTTTCCAAATCTATTCTAAAAATAAGATGAAACAAAATTTGCTTTTGACATCATTCATCCTAAAGTCAAAGTAAATTATCAAACAAGATTAAAAACTAGCCAGCAAAGTTAAAAGGTTAGATGGGGTGTTTTATTTTGTTTATTTGTTTGGTGTTTTGAGACATGGCAACAAATCATGGTGGATAGCAGATTAGGAAAGCAGCTTTTCTGTTCATGTCCATGTTTCTTTGGCCCTAAAAGACTCACTATATCTCACAGTGATTACTTTCCCTAACTACCAAAATAGCCTTGGTAATATCATTGCCTATTTTTTTCACATCTGGCATGCAAATACTGTGCTCTGAGATTCCTCAGTTGTATACTGAAAGGCTCAGGATGATCTCTTTCCAATCTGTAATGTGTTATAATAGCCATATTTATAACTTAATTCATTCCCACTGTGTGTCATACACTATGCTAGACAGTTTACATGCACTGTCTCTAATTTCCACAACGCATAACTTTGTATGGTAGTATTCTTCCCATTGGACAAACAAGGAAGTGGAAACTCAGATAGGTTAAGAAAATTATCCCAGGTGACACAGTTTACAGATAATAACAGACATTCAAACCAAGTCTGCCAGACTCCAAAAAGTCCATGATGAAAAGACAAAAGGCTGTGATATCTGACTGCCTTCACTAAATAATTGATGACCTCTGGGAAAGATAGAAATATTAGAAAATAGTTTCAATCTAAAAACATGTATTTAATGGACACAAAATAATTTTACTTACAAGATAAATATGTTTTAGTCTGATTTCCTATTCCTATTGACATCATTTCTCTTAATGTTTTACCTAAAAGTGTATCCATAGTGCACTACATCATATGTACATAGTTGTAAATGTAATTATTCAAATAAATTACCAGGAAACCTGATTGCTTCTTTTTCAAAGACTCTGCAGTTAAGAACTTCACCAAATTTTCCTTAAGGGGCCAATGTAGGGAGCCTTCATTTTATTAAATTTCTTGACAATAATTCCTACAAATTTTGTTTGAAGGAAAAATAGAAGTGTCCACAAATAGAATTTCATGTGATAGTCCCTGGGCATTTCTTCTGGGAAGAAGTCTTTATCTGATCCAGTTGTGTGCACTTTGATTTAAATCCCAATAAAAAGAAACGTTTGCCATTCTTCACATCAACACGTCAGCGTAATGGGGCAAGGAAAAAGTTTAGCAAAGGGGTTGACAGAGTGCTAATCCTGGCATCGGCCTTGCACAATACTTTTACAACATGCACAGATAATGTAGTTGAAACTTAGGTTCCATTTATTATTCTTGCTACAACTTTCTTTAATTCTACAGAGAACTCAAACTAATGAGTTATGCAATAGATGACCAAGTGCTTAAGCAGGATGTGAAATGGTACAAGGTGGGGATATAAAATAAAATTTTTGATAAGCTTGAATGCATTTTTTGAAATAGCTATAGGGGGTGAAGGAGTGACTGGACAGGATGAAATTAATCAATGATTTAATTTGGATTTCTTGGACCTCACTAAGGACTATCTCTATTTTCATGTATATCTGTAAGTATAGAGACCTTAGAAGTCAGCAGGACTAAGGTAGTATCCAGATGAGTGCAAACAGTTGTTCCACAGGCAGAAAACTATTTTTAAATCCTGAC